CATTTGGTAAGATCAAATTTTGGGGAGTGACTCACCATATCAACATGTGAAATTCTCATCTCGCCCAGGAAATACAGCACAATTCAGAAATGCCCCGCTCTTGAAATAGCACCACTGAAGTTGTGAGATTTACACAAATGCAGTAACTACCTTTCAGCCTAAGAGCTCGATCTCAACCTCACAAAGAGCAACCGGTGAGGGTCACAACACTCTTAGTAATTTTCAAAGGTGTCTCGTATCATTACATTGAGATAAACTATCACATCAACCTTTATCAGTTGTGCTATACTGCTCTTCTAAGTAGCTCTTGGTAGTATTATTTATAATTTCCCTGAGAGTTTTAGTGAATAAGTTTCCTTAAATTTCTAACCAGGACTTTTAATTTCATCACTTTGCATACCTCTACAGTAAAATGATTTTTAAGGTACTTTCAAATTAACTTTATTAAAATACTGTATGCCAATTAACTGGCTTTTCTGTTAAGCACTTGTCACTGAAAAGAGGAAATTAGAAAATCATAAATGAACAACACTTTTGAAATAAAACAGTCTCATCATACAAATTTGTAAGATATATGAAAATAAGAATGAGACTGACCAGTCTAGTATCGTATCCAGAGATTTATCAATTTGTTTTTTTTTTCTTTTAAATGTAAGCAGTTTTGATTCTCTAAAGAACTACTTAAAAAGACCATCAAAAAGCACTTCTGTTTTCCCTGTTGCTGATTTCTTAAGCAGGATATCGTCAGATGGACTACTTCTGTGATAGTGTTTGAATCTGATGGGAGAAGGAGAACAAAATGGAAGAAAACTTCTAGTTCTTTATGAACTAAAAAACCATTCTAAACAAATCATATATAGAAGTACTTGAAGGAGCAGCATTGCCGTGCTTCTCTAATCTTTTGGTCTTTCATGGTACTATAATTTGGTTGTTGGCATATTTATGGCACTGAAGAGTATAAAATGCATTTTTAAGCTTGACACTCGAACATATAACTTTTTTCCTGGTACAGTACAGTAGGATTGCTGTTCAGTTCAGTTGCACAAATATAGTCAGTACAGGTCAGAACTGCAATAATTTGGGAAAGCAGTTCAAGTGTGCATATACAGTATTCCTATAACTTCAAAAAAAAAAAAAAAGACAGGAATGCTTCAGGACCACATATTTTTTTGCAGAAGATTGCATTTTTTGTTAGTTTTATTTTAATATGTCAGATGTGCCTGGGCAAGTACTCACCACCAAATACCACTTACACAAAGAGAATCGATATGATGAACGTAACAGCTTTGTGTTGTTTTATTTTTATTCAGGCTTCCGGACACTCTGGCTAGATTGGATCTAAAGGGAAATGACATAGAGGATGTTGGAGAACAAGAGCTGAAGGACTTGAAACAGCTTCAGGTTTTAAATTTACGGAATAACAAGATATCTGCCTTGGATCGCAAAGTCTTAGAGTATTTGCCTCGTCTGCGTCACCTGTATTTAGATGGAAACCCTTGGAACTGCACTTGTGACCTTCTCAGAACCAGAAGAGCGCTGGTGGCCAAAGGCACGGATGTCAGGGGAGGGCAGTGCGCGGCACCAGCAGAAAGCCGAGGAGAAAGTTGGATGTCTTCCAAAAAGATTCTGCAGCAGTGTGAAGATAATCTGTCTTCCATGGAAGGAGGCAAAGAGGATAGAAAGAAAATGAAACCCAGCGAGGCCTCCAGCGTTGGAGCAAACACAGATGATGATTACTATGATTATGAATTAGATTAACCCCATGGTTAATCTGTGGTGAACCTTAAAGTTGTCTAGAGCTGCCCACTACCACCAGTGTCTTTACTGACAACCAGCCTGCTGGTCTGCCACTAACTTTTCCTCTTTAATTTGTGTTATAAGAGGTAATAGCTGGTGACAGAAGGGCTATAGTAAGGATGCCATTGTAAAATGAAAATTGTAAAAAAAAATAATTGTTTTTATATGCCACTAGTACTATGTAGTTTGAGGGAAGTAAGAATACAATTACTCTCTCTTAGAAAAGCAGTCTGTAACTCCGTATGGACCTCTTTATAGTAGAAGATTCTTATAGTTGCATAAAAACCCCATAAATAAAATCCTGCAATACTGCAAGATACTATCACTAGGAGTCTGGCATTCAGCATGTTCAAATCACAGCTCTGCAGTCCGAGAGGGAGACTCACACTGATGTGGGCAATCTCTCAGGATTGGTCAGAGATTCTTCCTTTTGAGAAATTCATTTCAGTTCTCTTGAAGTATTTGCCTCTTTTATTTAATTTACACTATTTGAAATGACATTAGCCCAAATTAGCTGAGCTCCAGGCAAAACACAAAAGGCTCATCTTCATCACAGCAAATGCAACAAACAGAAGAATCAGTGTCCTGGTTAATGAGATTTAATACTAGTTTCAATGTTAATTAATAGTGAGGAATGAAAACACTGGGGTCAACTTGATTTGTTTGTAAACAGAAGAAGGGAGATTCTCAGGAAATGGATTTCTACCTCTGGCAAATATTAGGATAAGATCAAGTGAGACGAAGTTTTAGGAAGAGTTTATTTTGTTAGCTGAAGAGCGAATTGACTACAATATAGCTCAAGGTGCTGTGTGTATACTGGCGGGTTAGAAGTACTTCATGTGGGAGTACACACAGCAGGTGCCCCCCTTCACCGGCCAGAACCTTCCAGACTTTTGCATGCCAAAAAAAAAAAGACGTAATGGTATATGCATCAACTCTGATGTATGTACAAATTTTATCAAGCAGTTCCCAAAGTGCTTGAAAACTAAACAAAATTGGATTACTAAGACCACTAAAACCAGTGACTTACAAAGAGTAATCTAAGGGGTTTCCTGGCAGTTCATAAATCTCAGCTGATAACTGAGGAGGACTAACACCAGCAAATTACTTTTCAAAGCAAACAGTTTCTATTATTCTTTATCTTCTGTTGGCATTCAGTATCTGAGTAATCACTCACATTCACAGAGGCTGTTTTGTCAGAGTGCAGCTATTTGGTTATGTCGCCTATGCAAATGCAATTGACGCCTGGGCTCCTTAGGCACCAGCACGTTAAGCTGTACAACTTAGAACAGAAAGACCTAAGTTCATTTTTTTTTTTACATTTTAACTTTTTAAGATATCCTCAGCCACCCAAACTTCTGGTAGCTAAAGATTTAGGCAATTATGGAACGGCACAAACCTTCCTTGCGCTTTGCCGGTGTTATTTTTGCTGGCTAACACTGGTCTGTGTTAAAAGTCTGGGAAGCAGTTATTTTTGTGATACAGAATTTTTCATTCAGCTTCATGTTGGCAGATTCTTTTAATAGAGTCCTTTAAATATCTCCCTGTGTCATTTCCGCCCATCCATCTGTCAGACGGCGCAGGGCTGGCTCCTTAGCTCTTGCTCTACCTTTTGCCTGCAGTGGGATTTGTACCCCCAGATCTGTGGGCTGTTAGAAGCCCGGGCAGCAGAAACCTGGGAACCACGGGTTTGGTGGGAGATGGCAAATTTGGAACGTACAGCCCCGAGGCCTCGCTGTCCCGGCCACTGCAGGGCCACGCTCAGCACGTCCCCATCGCCCAATGGGGGTGCCACAGAACAGCCCAGAGAGTATTTGCTTTGAGGCTGAATGTACCGTTTAACAATAAATGATGGAATGGTTTGGGTTGGAAGGGATGGGGCATCCACAACCTCTCTGGGCAAACAGTTCAGTGTCTCACCACTCTTATAGTGAAAAACTTCCTAGTATCTAAATCTCCCCTCTTTCAGTTTAAAACCATCACCCCTCATCCTATCGCTACACTCCCTGACAGAGTCCTTCCCCATCTCTCCCGTAGCCCCTTCAGGCACTGGAAGGCCACAGTAAGGTCTCCTCAGAGCCTTCTCTTCTCCAGGCTGAGCAGCCCCAGCTCTCTCAGCCTGTCCTCACAGCAGAGGTGCTCCAGCCCGCTGAGCATCTTCGTGGCCCTCCTCTGGGCCCGCTCCAACAGGTCCATGTCCTTCTTGCGCTGAGAGCTCCAGAGTTGGACACAGAACTCCAGGCGGGCTCTCAAAGGCACCCCTGGGGCCTTTCAAAGGCCAGGGGACCAAGGCGCCAGGGGTCCCAAGGCGAGGGGTGGGGCGGAGGGCGGGGGTTCAGATGAGGTGATGACTGCGCCGCCGGCCCCGAGGCAGATGTGGGAGGCCCGGGGCTCGGCGGGGTCTGTCCTGGCCCTTCCC